TGGTGTGTGTGGGATGCAGTGTGTGTTCAGGCTCAAACACATTTGTTTATTGATGAAGAGACTTTTTATAGTTGGAAAACAAAGTGTACAAGCAGCAGACTGGTGGTGGCATCGTGTTTGCAGAACCTTCAGGCCATTTTGGGTTTGTGTGTGTGTGTGTGTGTGTGTTTGTATTTGTGTGTTTGTGTGTGCCTGGGGCTTGTGTGTCTTCCGAGCAGAGACCTTGGCCAAGGTTCTAGTTGTTAAAAATCAGCAGCAGATCCTGGAGGTAGCGCTCAGGTTGTGTAACACGGAGGCAGTTCTGCTGGAACGTTTCTATGGAAATTTGTCTTATTTACAAAACAAACTTTAGCGTTTTCGGCCTCGTACTGGACCAGTCATTTATTTACATCCAGGAGTTTGACTCAGTGCTGAGAAATCAGAGTTTGTTTTGAGCTGATGGTGTTATTGACGCCTCACACAGCATCAGATCAGCTGTAAGGAGAAATCAGTTGGAGAAAATCCACCGAGCTTTGTTGTGATAAAAACACCAAAGTTCTGCAGGATGTTGGTCAGTTTGGGCTGTAGGAAGCTAGAACAGACATTTTTATTCTTTTTTTTGACAAACTAATATCGACAGCATGGATGACAGATGAATCAGTTACTGCAGTCCTGGTCCAGAGTTATTGGGATGATATTTGGTATCTGGTGGATGCTGGATTTTTGGCACTGGTGAGTTTTTATGGTGTGAAACATTCTGATATCAACATTTTGGCAGATATTTTGTTTTTTATATGCAGATATATGCATCCTGTAAACAATTATTAATATTATTATTTTTAAATGGATGAGGACGGAGTAGTTGATTGTTCCCAGCAGTGTTTTTAACAAACTAGTGAGCAACCTCCTGTGAAGACACTGTTGGACTCTGATACCTGCTCAGCTATGATGGATGCTCTGCTGCATGTGCTGCAAACAGTCTGAGCCGCTACCTGATGACACCTTATCCCAAGTACCTTTCTTTAGCATTATGACCTGTAGCAGTGCGTATTGGACACCACACACTGATTAGAAAAAGAAAAAGCTTCTTCATTAGATCTCCTAAAAGCTATCTTCGGTTTATATTATTATTATTTTCCCTGAATCTCTACCATCAGTAACCCTCTTCTCCTCCATCCAGTGCTGCGATCTGGGCTACCATGCCAGCCTGAATCGGGCCCTGCGGACCTACCTGTCGGCAGAATACAACCTGGAAACGTCCCGGCACGAGGGTCTTGACATTATTGAAAATGCTGTGGACAGTCTGGACCCGCGAAGCGACCGTCAGAGGTTCATGGAGATGTACCCCACAGCTTTCTGCCCGCCGGCGAAGTTTGAGTTCCAACCTCACATGGGAGACGAAGTACGTAGCGCGGTTAGCAGTGATGCTACGGTGATCATATCTAATAACTGTGCATGTGTGGTGGGGTTTCCAGTTAAATGGATGATTGTTTCCAGGGACACTAAAAATGATCAAAACTATATTTAGAGAAACAAAAGTGTTTGGTTCTCCAGCCGTGTTGAGCTGCAGATACACCGAAGGAAATTTGGAGTTTATTAAAAAAAGTCTCAGACTTAATGAGGTCTGATATTCAGTGGCTTCAGTGCAGCTTTTTACTGCGTCTGGGCTGCCGGCTCAGGTTTTATGGGGCACTGAATTTGACAAATCATGTGTTATTCCTCTCCCGGCAGTCATGTAGCCCAACATGTGTTAAGTTTTACTGTTTGGCTGGCACTCCGCTGATATCATGTCTGTTTACTAGCTGTTGTTGTGTGGCTGTCTGGATTCGTTTGGCAGAAGTCGCTGTGGTTTGCCTGCAATTCAGGAAGAATCTGAACGGCTGCATCCTGTTTGAACCTCGGCCCCATGATAGGTTGAGGTCTCAGGTTGTCGTGGGTGACGGTGTGTCTTCTCTCTCCTCCAGGTGTGTCATGTGTCAGTGCAGCCGCCGGTGAACGGGGAGCTCATCCTGAGGTTCCAGCAGCTCCAGTCCCGCCTGGCTACTCTGAAGATCGAGAACGAAGAGGTGAAATAGCAGCACAAATACTTTGAAACCACCGGTTATTTGCGGGGCGGGGTTTACTCTCTTTAGCTCCAGTTGTGCTGCCTGGCAGACGGTTTTGTTTTTCTGCTTTTCGTGGGCTGATAATTGCAGAGAATTAAAGCGAGCAGAGAAAGTTAACTTCAGCCAGAAGTCATCCAAGGTGAGACAGAAAATAGTCGATCTCTGAAGAATCGGCTCACTGCCTGTTTTCCTCTCTCATGCCCTGCAGGTAGCCATCAAACCCTCTCTGTGAAGCCTCCATCTTTTGCTCCCACCGGTAGAATTCACTTTCTGCTTTTATTTGCACAAACCTGTCCTGTGCCGTTCTTTTTTTTTTGACATCGGAGGTGCATCTTTGCTTCTCGGGCTCTATTGTTTTAATGTGACTTGTGCCAGCTCACAGAGTGCAGTCGCATCCATCAGACGGGCTCTCGCATCACGTCTGACCTGCTTCCCCTCCGTGAGCGCTCGCTGCATTTCCCTCTTTGCTTCTCTCCCTCCACATCACTGCCTTTTATTTCTTTTATCCTTTTACAAAGACACGTAGGAGCGCGTCACTCAGCTCCCTCCCTGTTCACGGTGCAGTTTCATATTCCTTCTGATCAAGTTGTCAAGTCTTTAGTGAAACTGAGTGAAAATGCATCCACGTGAACGGCCAGTGATGGATCAGGCAGACTTTGGGAAGTTAACAGTCTTGATTAATCAGCCTGTGGTTGCTGCTGCTTGTAGTTTAGTTCTACAGGTCCTGGTGGCAGAAAACAGCCCCGAGCAGAACTACTGCCAGAACACCAGGTGTAGGAGTTGGAAGGGTCCACTTTGGTTTACTCGTTCAGTATTTAAACCTGCTGCCAGAAACGTGTAGGTGATAATAATCCTTTTCAATAACAGTTGAATGCTTTTATTGTGAAGCTGCATTTAGTTTGATTTACATATATAGAAGAGGAACCAGTCAGGTGAAGGATATCGGTGGGATAACAGTTGTTTGGGTTCGTTTTAGTAGATCGTAAATGTCAAAGCAGCGTCCAAGGTTTCCCAGCAGGACGCTGCTCTGCAACGAGAGGTTTTACTTCACCTGTCAGAGGTTTTATTGTTGTGGCTGATGCTTGGTGTGTGATGGACCGGCAGCTAAAGCTTCTGCACTGGGAGGTAGAGACAGAATGTGAACACCTCAGGAGGGTTTTGCAGGAAAATTGCATTTATCAGTGCTATCAACGGTGTGTTTTTATTTTCTAGTGTTTACATTCAGCCTCAAGGTTTCTCTCAACATTGTCCCCACAGATAATTACCTTTATTAATTAATACTGATTTTATTCATCATCTCACGCTGAAGGATTATTTTATGTATATCGTATTTATTGTTTATTCTGAGCCTGCCCAGGGCTGTGGGCTAACCCTATCAATAGGTTGTAAGTGTGCGCCGTCCCTGCAGGATGCACCAAGAAGTACGTTAGCAAATGGAGTCTGATTTTATTAAAAAAATCTTAAGTAGAATAACTTAAAACTCATCATGCAGAAGCTGTTATTTCCTGGTAATAACCTCCCAACACGAGGAGCTGCTGCTTTACATCGCTGTAGACTTAATATCACAAGAGACTGGATTTACAGACGCTGTGCTGAACTCTCACAAATCAGGATGGGATTTGTG